AGGCTGATCTCATCATTGGCTAGTTATTTCATCTTAGTGTGTATTACATTGTTCAGTTATCTGATTGAGATACTATGATATACACGCTTAACATGCTCGAGTTTAACGTAGAAAATGAGTGAAAAAAAAACTAAGCGTAACTAGGATGCTTTATCGGCAAACTCATTTGTATATATATAACACTTATTTTTACCATCTCTTACCTGTCATCTGGCCTTGAACTGGCATGTGCTCAGAGGCATGTGATGCATCGATATTCATAATGGTGGGGAAGATTTGTAGCTCAGGTGGATGATTTTGATGGAGTTTTGTTCTCTGAGCTGGATGGTTTGGTCGTGGAGCTTTCATCGTTCTTCTGAATGACATCATCAGCACAAACTTCAGGTACAAGTGAAGTTTGTGCTGATGATGTCATTCAGAAGAACGATGAAAGCTCCACGACCAAACCATCCAGCTCAGAGAACAAAACTCCATCAAGATCATCGATATTCACCTAACCCATCAGTATGCTACTACTCATTAATACGCGTCCATGACCCATTAACAGAGTATTGAACTCAGGGACTTCATTTCTTAGGACGCGCACTTAATCTCTAGAACACTAAGTGGATGTGCGATGTTCAGTGGTATAGGAGTAAGTTGGAAGAAAGCTAGGGGCGGCCAGAACAAAACATGGCACAAGTCCATGAAGTCACTGACAAGTGGACTGAACCATGTTGTTAGGTGTAGACTACCTGGTTAGAATCCACGAGATGATAGCAACCGATGGTTAGAGACCTTGAATAACATGGCTCAAAATCGTTTGCAATGGCGCAGATGCATCCACTCTTTGTGTTCTCCCAAATTCTAATCTTCTAAATTCTTTATGCCCCCTTTTTTTCCTCTTCTCAAATTTATTTCACTGGATTATACTCTTTAAATAACATCTCCAAACCCTAATCTTCCCGATTACTGCTTATACTCTTACTACCTCTATCACTACGGGATTTGAATCGACCACTGCATCTGTGTGCTAATGTGGTGTGGCAACTCGAACTGATGTACGTACGTACGAAGTTCCACATTGTTACTGACTAACTGACTGATTGACTGACTGACACTAAGTCTACATTTACTGGTCTGTATGTTAAGCTTCAATCAATTCACGATGTTGAGCGACTGTCTTTCAATGCATTTAGAGAATAATTACCTCACACCCGACATTAGTTAAATTAAGAACTTCGTGAATTATCATTCGAAACTAGTCTACAGTGATTATATAACTTAACAGCTATTATATAATAAGTTAACAGAGATAATGTGAAACCAGTTTGCATCGGATAAATTTTCATTTTAGCTCAATAGTACAAAATTAACAAAAAACTCCACATAATATTACACAGCATATAATGTTAAGGTATCTAATACCGATCAATTCCAAAGTAAATTGAAGTAGTTGTTCCTTACGATACCATATAACTAATATCAATAAGAACTTTGTAAACTTCTATTGATAAACTTGTGTTACAGTCAATCAAACGGAAAGTAAGTTTATATAATGTCCTCAGTATATCGTTTACCTTGTTCTGATCCAGTTGTTCAAATAAATAATATTCACTGTGAACTCTGAAAGTTCAAGGTTTAATCCATGATCAGAATGGGGATAAACACTAGTAAGGAACATCAGTTATCCTGTACTGGTTGGTTATATAGCTAAGTCAATCTGTGGTATAAGACATTCTTATTTCATCAGTTGGTAGCATTAACGTCCTAGTCAATCAACCATAAGAAAAGCAGAACCTAGAAGTTAGATCGGTTACTTCCTCCAAGTTGGCACACCTTTAAGGTATTATATAAGAAATATGTCATGATTTTAGTTGTAATTTCAGTGTCTTTTCCCTTTAAAATATTCTCCTTCATAGATTATACACAATAGAATATCCGTAAACTTTCAATTACAATGTAAATTCCCTTTCTCTCCATTTAGTGAATCAATACAAAAACTCATTATATAGTAGATAATAGAAAAACAAATCATCATGTTTCAGCCCTAAATTCTGCATTTTTAATTATAAATTACTGATTTTAGATAACATATCTAGTGAGAGGGATGTTTATTTACTGAATATAGTAACTTATCTTGTCCTAAAATTAGGCAACTTTAGATGAAATGATACTATTAGTGTTTAAATCATTGAAGTTTTATCAGTTGTATGCATGTAAGTTCACTATACAAATTTTCACAAAACTAAACAAAGCGGGTGTTCTAGTGATATATATATGCTGATTTATTGTACATCACGGTGTCTGTGTGATAGCTAATCTGTGTCAGATAGATACAGGTATCTATAATGGAAGATGGTCAAAGTTAGACATTAATACCGTTGAATGTCAGCTGAGTAGTCTAAAGGTTAAGCGTTTGAGCGTGAGAACCAATGTTCAGGGTTTGAATTACGCGTGCGAGATTGTAGATGTACACTGCTGAGGAATCTCATATTAAGATGAAACGGTCGTCCAGTGCTCCCAAGTTTTCAATGGTAGTCTAACATCCATCGATACACGATCTCAATCAAGGGTTTAACAGTCTCCACAATCCCATACTGATGATATGAAATAATTAGAGAATGAATTAAAGGATGTTGGATTTCATTAAACAACTTTCAGTATGACAAATATAATATTGAAATCTATATTTTTACTTGAAATGCGCTCCACATTTTCATGTTTAAGAAAAAATGTGTGAAGAGTTTTTCAACGAGGTTTAACTCTGACTCATTATTATCTGAAGATGATCTTCGAAAAGTTTAGCTCCGATAATAACAATTTTTTATTTAATGAAGGACTTGATGCATGAATTTCAATGCAAAACCCTCTCATTTCTGTAAAAAACTAACATTTAGAGAAGAAAATATGACAATCACCAAAATGATTCTGGATTCTTGGTTATTTTTCCGGCTAGCGTTTTTTTAGTTGGTTAGTTTTCTACAAGATGGGGTCGCTAATCCCATGCCCAACCCTCTTCCCTTATCCGGGCTAGGGGCCGGTGGTAGCCGCAGAGGGGCTTCAGACGGAGTTCTTGATTCTAGTAGTAATTAGTAAACGTCATAGGTTGTAAACATTTTGTACGAGTCTGTGACTATATTCAGGGGTCAACAGATAGAAGAAATTATTCAGTTGAAGCAAAGTATGACAAAAAAATTATTAAGAAGTTCTAGCAGATCATTTATTTAACTCCATAATTGTTTTTTATACTGATAAGAATGAAGCATTAATAATTTTGAAAGGTGACTTATGTATAATTTAGTGTGGTATGTGTAATTCTTACAATATGAAACGAAAGACTACTCATTAATTAGTTCGAACGAGTTTCAACCTCCATGCATATTATGGATTTTTATGGAACGTTAACAAACTTCATACTAAATGAGAACTGATCTGGTCAGAATCTAATTTACGTTATTAACAAATGTTCTATCAGTTTTTCTCTGTTGTTTCAAACTTACAGCACTGATTACGAAGAATAAGAAGTAACATTGATCTGAAGAATAAAATCATGTTTTCTCAAGAATGTCATCAAGACTGAGCTTGTTAAGCTGACTACGAGTTGTGGATGTCATGTTCTCAGGAACAAACTTTGATATTGATTAGAATGCTTTTAGCTAGATTAGTACAAAAGAAATAAAAAAACGAAATACGTAATATTAAATCTCTATTATTGATTGATTTGAATGCATTAAATACCTCTGAACACAATGAATAATTAACCGTACTTGCGTACATCTGTTGTAGTGAACAAGGACACCAATGGGGACAATCGAATGTATGCAACACAAAATTACAGGACTTCTTAAAAAAATCTAACAATCATAAAGTAAATACTTAATTTACAAAATGCCCACCACTTGTCTCAAAATGACTCAGACTTCATTGTTCTTGCATTTTCATACAAATTGTATTTTGTTTCCATTCTTTACTGTTCGATCCTCTTGTTTATCTGCTTCCAGACCTTCTGTTTACGACTAACATCATATACTACTTATGTCAATATAAGTAGCACAAACCACACTGTTACCCCTCGTGGAAGAGCATAGTCCGTCCACCAGCATTCTTTATCGAACTCTGTCATGAGCAATCCTTTCCAGTTGCTATTCATATACTTATTTCTGCTTTCAATTCTCGACGTAGTATGTTCATTGGCCGTCCTCTTTTCCGTGTCACTTCAGGATTCCAAGTTAGTACTTGCCTCGTGATGCAGTTTGATGATTTCCTCAATGTGTGTCATCTCTACTGGCAGTGTCTTTTACTAATTTCCTCTTCAAATGGAAGTTGTTTTTTTCTGTTCCATAATAGGATATTGATGATGGTATTCGATCAACGGATATTGAGTATGTTGCGTAGACAATCGTTTACAAATAGATGTACTATTTTGATGATGGTTGCGTTGGTTCTGGAAGTTTCAGCCACATACAGTAGAACTGTGTTGACGTCCGAACTGAAGTTTCTGACTTTGATATAAGTCGAAAGTTGTTTTGAGTTCCACGTGTTGTTCAACTGTAGGAATGCATTTCTTGCTTTGCCAATATTCGCCTTTACGTTTACATCAAATCCTCCACATTCATCAATGATGTTACCCAGATACATGAAAAACTCCACCACTTCCAGAGTTTCCCCATCAAGTCTGTTTGAGTTGATGTTCTTTGTGTTGAATTCGGGAATGTTTTTCTTCTTCCCTTATAAATATATATATATTGAGATCTACTGATGCAGAAGCTTCTGTTATACTAAATGTCTCCATCTTCTATAGCTATTCTAAGGTTACTGCCGGTCCCAAGCTAACACAAAGCAGGAGGGTTGATTATAAGGTCAGGGACGTCATCTTGTACAAAACAACTTTACTTAAAAAGAACACTAACGAGGATGAACAAATTAATGTACCCTATACAAATATAACAAATAATTCAATCATATCAACTAATGTGATAGTTATATATTAATCAAGTTTTTTGTTTGTTTCTTTTTAGATAAAAAAGTTAAATGTTATCGATGTACCGATTGTCCTAATCCATTCGATAAAACTCAAATAACTGAATTAGCTAATTGTAATTTTTGTCGAGTAAGTTCATGTAAATTCATATGATATGATGTTATACTTTTCTTTGTGTGCATGAATTTTAATGTATTGATGTCTCGTTCTACCAAAAGATAAATAAGTTAGCAAAAGGGCGGCCTGCATGAATATCTGGGCTACCTGTTTCTGCCATCTGATTACTTCAACAAATTATCTGGGTTTTTTTCGTTTGTTTTAACTTATAATTATGTCCATTAATCGCATAACCTATTCAAGCGCTTTTATGAAAAGCCTACGACCTTTCGCTGCACAAGTTACAAAAAAAGTACTATAAAAGACATCGTGGTGGTTGGCAATATGCGTTAAAGAGAATGAATAATAATCGTATGTCGATTCTCGAACTGCTAAATTCTAACTGTCGATCACTAATCAACAAAGTGGACTATCTGCAATTCCTACCAAGTCAAAATATGTATCGTAATTGTGGTGTCATCACAATTCAAGAATCTTGGTTAAATGATTTACAGGATGACTGCCTAGTATCACTACGTGATTTCATAATTTATCGTCAGGATCGATCAAACAATAAAAAAAGGCGTGGTGGTGGTGTATTTTTTCTGTGCTGAAAATTCTATATTGTACCAAAACTATAATATTGAATAAAGCCATTAATAATAATAATAATAATAATAATATACAAGGTGAAAGATATGATTGAAGGGGATGATTAGTATTTGATGAGATAACACCTGCCAGGAGTTTGCAAGACTTTAGATGTCTATTTACAACGATATTAATAATGACCTCAAAAGATTCACCACATGCCTTGCTAACCGTCTTCAGAACTACTGGTAATACAGCAAAGTCTTTTCTCAAAAACCCAGGAAAGAATAATGGAGAACAGTATAGAATAATAGGTAATATACAGGGTTTGACAAATTGTAAGAGTAAATGACCATTAATCCCAAAAGCATACAGCCTCTTTATGTAATGAATCAGATGGAAGACTTTCTTTGATAACAGTTAAATATGAGAAGACCAAGAGAGATCAGAGGAAAAGATAACACCGAGATAATTGACCTTCGACACTGTTATATCCAGATAAGAATAATGAATGATAATTTTTAGGATCCATCTATGGACCAAGACTATGAGTATATTTTTATCGTATAATTGTTATGTAACTAAACTGTTCATATTCATGTCCCTCGTATTATAAGTTTTATTTTGACCCATCAACTATTATTATACGATTTACCTTTCTTGAGTTATGGCCTGTCTATTAATTACTACCTCCCACACAACTAGACTTGGCTAAATCTTGTACAGATGTTGTTTCATATTTTATAGTACGTTGTGGTCTGTCTGGTTGATATATAAACCCAGTATGTTTGAAATAAATGATTCATATTGCAGAGGCTGAGCTTAGTGTTCGATCGATACTTCACTGCTCTCTGATTGGCGGTATCTCTGCGTTATACAATAACAGGGCACACGGGTTCACAAGTTATAACAAACACTGTGTTTATCAAAGAGTCTCCAATGGCACAAGCATTGTGGGATCCCAAAATGGTGCTTAGATGCTGTTCATGTCTCATGCTAAAGTTAACAGCTTGATATGTAGACGGATTTTTTTATCCTGCTTCTCTTTACAAGCCATTCATTATAATTAAAATGAGTACATTGTGAGCACAATAACTGGAATTTATGGAGTTTGAAGCAGGCAATAACAATTATGAACTAAATAAAATAGTGAAACAAAAGTCTTCTAAAATAAAGTTTTGAACAACGTATAATTCATTATGAATAACCTGATAATGTTATGACATGTGCTACTTATATCAATATAAGTAGTTTATAACGCTAGTCAGGAATAGAATGTCGAGAAGATCAAGAAGGAAAGAATATTAACTGAAAGCAATTAGTATGGAAGTGAAGTGTGAGACGATTGATTGATATTTTTTAAATGAAGTATTTACTGTATGGTTCTCAGATTTTACTAAGAGATTCTGTAATTTTGTGTACAAATATATTCGATTGTCCCCACTTGTGTTCTTCTTCACAAGGTGTCACGTAATTAATCTGATTCAAGGTAATGTATATAAGCTTGAATTTACAGAAGTTAAATTCTCTTCAGTCACTGAGTTATTATTGTAGATAAAGTGTTATTTATTTTATATATTTATTTCAACACATAAACATTGGTATAAGGAGGCACCGAACAGGTATGCGCCACATAAATCACTCGGTTTGTGTGAGGGTGCCCAAACCGAAACATATGGGTTTCTTAGGGAGTCACACCTCGAGCCTTCAATATAAAGGTCTGATCCACAAGGCAGTGAAGCAACGTCAAGAGATACACTCCTATAGTAGTCTGTAATCAACAATAAGTTCATACGCTATTTGTTCCCTTGGGATCCTGGAGCCCATGTACACCATTGGTTTAGAATCAGGGTTTTACAATTCCCTTACATGGATTCTCCGTATCCATCAACCTGGTTAAAGCGCCGGATATTGGTTCAAGTTTAAGTCATAAATAGACGTCTTTCAATTATCGAGTATTATTTGGTATATGTCAATGCTTTACATTCTCAAGTATTCAACAAAAATTACTTAGAATTTTAGACTTCATTTAACTTAAATACAAATTAAGGTAAATAATAAAATTGAAAATCATCTTCATTATTAACTGATATATGAAAGTAGTATTGAAAATAACGGGGTAGCAGATCTCTGTTTCATTTTTTGTTTAGAATAATTGCTCAATGGTTTGGATTTATGATCCTATTAAAAATTGAACTTCTATGTTTTGAGGTAATGAAATAACCAGAATTAAAGATCAATGACCAAACAAATCGAACGTATGTTACGTAATCAATAATAATAATAATGATGATAGGAATAAGAACAGTCATAAACATAACCCAAATAATATAATAGAACTTATCAGACAAAAACAAAAATAGTAAGGGATAAAAACGTGTAGTGAACAAGGACACCAATGGGGACAATCGAATGTATGCAGCACAAAATTACAAGACTTGTTAATAGAATCTAACAATCATAAAGTAAATACTTAATTTACAAAATGCCCACCACTTGTCTCAAAATGACTCAGACTTCATTGTTCTTGCATTTTCATACAAATTGTATTTTGTTTCCATTCTTTACTGTTCGATCCTCTTATTTCTCTGCTGCCATACCTTCTATTTACGACTAACATCATATACTACTTATGTCAATATAATTAGCACACACCACAAATGAGGTGAACAGGACAATAATTCGGATTCTGTTTATTTTATCAGATTTTACAGTCAATATGTTGGCTTCCCATTTTTTTGCCCCCATAAAAACCCCACTTAATTATAAATTGATCTTAGAAGGTTCCATTTTGTATGCTGGTTAAAATCATCTTCCTTGACAAATATAGTAGAAATTATATCATTTCCCATTCCTTGTTGTGTGACATCACTAATTGGCTATAATTGTAAGTGTCTATTACTGAATTTCGATGTAAGATATCATGTTCTCTGAGAATCCAGAAGCTTAAGAGTTTGATCATTTATGGAGTTATATATGGACACCGCTAAAGAGCTGTGGAACTGGATAACGAATCTTTTCAGAACATCATGTTTTTGAAGCACTTCTTAAGATTATCCTGTTTAACTGTAAATAACGATAGACAGCGTACAATTCGTTATACATCATACAAAAATTAGCATACACTATAAGATAAATGGAACTAGATCATACTATCACATGTTAATCTTTGACTGGATCCTACTGTTATATATTTTATCAAGGGTGGTGTGAGTTGCATCGAAACAAATATGTTGTGATGTAGACAACTCATCGAAGAGAATTTTCTTTTTCCTGTTTTAGAAGTTGATTACCTGTCTGGTACTAAACAATAGCTTTGGTAACAATTTCATTCGGTGAATCATTTCAAATTTGTTTCCTAATGACGAAATGAATTTGATTATTGTCGGAGAACATCCATTTCATAACACAACGTAACGATTATAACAAAGTGGAAGTCGCTTAAAATGAAAGTTGAAAAGCTTCTTACTACTTATAGTTATTAGTATTTCATTTTGGACTATATACAAAACCATCAGTATGAGTTGGATTATATCATTAGTGAGATGGATGACATTGTTCAATATTTTTCATTGTTCAATTCCAATCAAGAATATTTTTACATGTCTTAATGTATAGTACTGATTATAGATTTATATCCGTGATTTAATACTTAGATTTATGCCTACTGAGGTTTATGAATACGTAAGTCTTCTACAGAGTTAGTCACAACCCCGTAGTAGACTATAGAAAATTATTGTAGATATAAGTTATTTGTGGGTGACGATTGATGTCACTGACGTACATGTTTAATATGTCATCTTCAGTTTGAGGTTGTGGAGATTGTTGAATTTCATGAACTGACCAATGTTAGACCACCATCGAAAACCTGGAAGCATTAAATGTTCGTTCTGTCCTCAATCAGTGCTCATTCACGATTCCTCACGCAAACTTCTGATCTGTAGACCACTGAGACGGCATCTAACAGTGTTAATCTCTAACTTCAACCAATTCATGATGTTGAATGACCATTTTCGATATCAGGACAAATAAGCCGTCCAGTGCTTCTAGGTTTTCAATGGTAGTCTAAAATTAATCATCATTTCATGATTTCAATGAGATTTAATAATATATTCGAAATTATTTGTTTTTTTTTAAAAAAAAATCTTTTCAGACGGTTTACACTTATCGTGATGAAGATAATTATAGAATTGCAAAAGATTGCGTAGCAAGTTGTGTTCCACAAGATCGTCGTGGTGGTAAAGCTGGCCTAGTAACTGAATGTTGTGATGAAGATTATTGTAATGCATCACCTAAACATTTTTCTATTTCATTTTTATTAATTACCAGTTTTACAATTTTCATTATATATGCTAATAAATTCATATATTGAACCAATACCTCTCTCTCTCGCTCTCTCGCTCTCTCTCTTGCTCGCTCGTTCTCTCACTCATTACACTTATTTTTAATTCCCATTTTCTTTTTAAATAAAAAAAAGTTTTTTCTCTTGGCTTAATAGTATCTAACTCTCGTTTTTTAACCAATAGGAATCTATAGATGTCATTGTTGTTTTTGTGTTCTATTCTTCTTAATCTATATTATTTCCCAAAATATAAAATGGATCAATAAACAAAAGATCATTATAGTTGCTATGCATTATATCTATACCTATCTATCTATCTATATATATATATCTATATATATACATATATTACAGTATAATGACAAGTATTTTGTGTAATAACCTTTCTGAATACAATTGTTGTAATTATCAATTACAAATTGTAGTTTCTTGTTATTGAACATTGTGATTCTGACAATACGATTACTATTATTATTATTATTATTATTATTATTGCTATTAAACCTTAAGATTATGTTTTGTTCCTTTTCTAATCAATCTTAACAGTGTGTTTTGTTTCATTTCAAAGTAAACTTTATAACCAACTTATTGAATGAATATAGTTGCTGTTGTAAGTGAGTAGGTTGTAATGTTGCCATGGGTTATTATTAATAAGAAGGAATAGATAAAGCATATTCTTCATATTATCTTTGTCTTGTTCTCCCATTGTCGCTTGTTATATCTTTGTGTGTATGTTTGTTTATTTGTTTGTTTTAATCAAACCTTTATTAGATTGAGTTTATAATTAAGCTTCAATTTTGGATTTTGTATGGATTATTGATTTTGTATGTTGTATACTATTCACAGAAATAAAATGAATTTTCATGTTTTCCTAAATATATATATATATATATATATATATATATATATATATATATTATATTATATTTATTTCAACACATGAACATTGGTACAAGGAAGCACCAAACAGGTATGCGCCACATAAATCACTCGGTTTGTGTGAGGGTTGAGATACTCTCTGAGTGCCTAAACCGAAACAGGTGATTTTCTTAGGGAATCACACCTTGAACCTTCGATATAAAGGCTAGATCCACAAGTCAGTGGAGCAACGTCCCATGATAGTCGGTGACCAATAATTGGTTCCGTTAGGATCGTGGATCTCATGTGCACCATTGGTTTAGAATCAGAGTTTTACAACTCCCCCACGTGGACGCTCCGTATTCACCAACCCGGTTTAAGCGCCTGACATCTGCTTTTCGTCCTCTCGATTTCGTAAATAGCACCCTCATCACGAGATGGCAGTGAGTAGGATTTCCTTGGCATTGGTTGCATGCGTGCGGCCATGTGAGAGCATTTCGAGATGGATAGCTGACTCTCCTCACTCTCGACCGCACCAGGGCATATATATATATATATATATATATATATATATATATATATATATATATATATATATATATATATATATATATATATATATATATATAATGATTCATTTTATTGCTTTGGGTATCCTTTTTTCGTTACAGTCAAATTATTGATACAAACGTTGGATATTTTGGTTATCTAAGCCATGGATACAAAAAGGAAACTGAGAAATAGATTAATAATGTGGATAATAAGAAACCAGTTTATTAGATCCCATTTTGGTAATTAATTGCAACTTCTCAAAAGATTACATAAAAATTCATCAATTTATTGAGTAGGCGAATGTACTAAGTATCTTTCTATTCTGTTTAACATTGTGACTGTGAAAAGTGGTCTTAGAAATTTTATGACATCTATCGATGAATTATATACGATTATCTCTATATCCTTGAAGTATAGTGGGGGAATGATGTATCTGATTCTGTGGTTAGGTGTAATGTATTTTTCAAAGATCTCAAATCGGTTGATAAAGCTATAAATCTGGATCATATGAAACAACTAGGATATGTGTTATATATGCTTAGTCTTCTCCCATTTCACCACATAGTGGCAGTCGAGAGAATGATGTGGCATCAGTCTATTTATAAATTGATTGTTAGTTGAATAGAGTGGCATTCGCCAAGTTGTATATATCCTGATATTATTAGTACCATTGATTTTTCAAAATGTTTGACATTCATCTTTTTCATATCCTGTCTTTGTCGAATTGGTAAGTTGTACTGAAACACAACCGATTGTAATATTGATTATGACTGAATCACTAGCTTTTAAAACTTGAAAATTACCTGAATATGGTGAAATGTCAGACAATAAGCTTAGACACAGATATTATGTTCAAAACAGATTAATATCAAGTTTAATGTAATATTGATAATATAACTAGTTCATTCTTATATCAGTGAAGCTAATCCGTGTCGGGTAGAGACGGGTATCCACCTCAGTACAATGAAAGATAGTTGCGCAATTTCGTGCATTGGTTGAGGTTAGACATTAATACCGTTAAATGCCGACTCAATGGTCTAGAAGTTAAGTGTTCATGTGCGAGACTGAAGGCCCTGGGTTCGAATTCCACGAGCGGTACCGTGGATGCGCACTGCTGAAGAGTCCCATACTGGGACGAAACAGCCATCTAGTGCTTCCAGGTTTTCAATAGTGGTCTGACATCAATCAATCAAAAACTTAATAATTTCCACAACCCTATACTGTTTATTATTTCATTTACATCAAGGATTAATCGAAGTTAGTTATAATAATTACAAATATGTTTTGAAATTTTAACAGTTGTTATTCACCTTTTCCGTTTAAAATATGATACAGACAAATAGCGCTTACTATAAATTCACGTTTATTATAAAATACAGTACAATATCTTTGTTTATTCATTAATTTTCATAATAAGTAACTTGATAGTAGTAAATCAATGTTTATTAAAAATAAAGAAAACATCGGTGAGACTAATTTTTGGACGACATTTGAGCGACGCCAAAGTGACATTGAGAGTGTCCACCTGTTAACTAGGACCAAATGAAGGTTATAAACCAGCGTAACGAATTAGAATTATGATTTACATTTGATGATTAAGGTTAGGAATTAGATTTAGCGTTTTCATCATGAACTGACATCAGCTATAATGTCAAATCTCTATTTAACCAAATGGTTGAGTGAATTTCGCGCTAAAATCCGAGATCTATTATCTTATTTCTGATTAATTCGTTCATAAATTATAGTCTCGCCAAAACATCACCATATATGATGGATGACTATTAGTGATTTGAAATTTTTAAAAAAATTGTTTTTACATTCACATAATCATTAGTTGTAGTGGTCGGTATTCGATATGATCCTTAAACTTCGTAAACAGCTCGTTCTGATAACCGTTACTAATTAATGTCCCTAATAGTGTGTAAATCAGAAGACGAGTACGAAGTGTTGATCGTGTTTATTTTTGCACGAAATACAGATAATAAAAACTACAGACACGCGAAACAAGAATGAAAGGCTAATGCCGGAACGAAAACGAGCGAGTGAACGTGAGAGTTCGCGAGTCAAATGAATAGGATTAAGATGTATATATATAGGGAAATGAGTGAACCATCGAATCAATTAAGCGACTAACAGTAAGGCTAGCATAATGAATATATGCGTCGGCAGTAAGCAATCCTCAAGGATACATGTTCATACAAGTGCAAGAATAATAAAGGTACTGTGGTGTAGATAAGTTGTTATTGTACGGATGACTCTCCGTTAAGATGTGCGAGCGAGAATGATAATGATTGGTTGTCTGCTTAGTCAGACATGTAGATAGTCTGACAGGTGCCAGATGAGTTATATATTCCCTTATCCTTATTATTGTAACTCATTATTAATTGTTCATTGTTGTTGGATTGTGTCGGGTTTTTGGTGCGGAAATATATTTACGTTATGATCAGGCTAATCACGTGTTCTTGATCTGAGTTGTGTTGAAATCCTGTAGAATAGACACTGCGAGAGGAATCTAATGTAGATATTCGTCTAAGGTAATTTAACGTCCCATACGTGTAAAAGTGGAAACTACAAGTTTTAACTATTGGCGACGGGGTGGAAAACAAAGAACTAAGGGTACAAAACCACAAGTTATAGCAAATAAATAAGTAAACAAAAGAGATTAACCAAATAAAATGTAAACAAACTCAATTACACATGAGCTACTATAAGTTAATTCAACCTACTATCTTTTTTTAGTGGCCTTTAATCTAACTCCAGATTGATCGTGTAAATGATTGTTATTGACATATTCATATCGACTATCCTCGTTATATAATTATTAACTTGCGTTAGTCAATAACAGAATTAACTAAGTCAAACACGAGAATGAATTTCAAATACTTATATTTTATACAATCGTTGATGCAAACAAATGAGAGGAGAAACAAAGCGAAACGACGCGCAGTGGAGAAGGCATGTAAGCCAACTCGATTTATAGTCGAACAAAAATAAATTACAAAAATATGTTGAGTAGGACAAGAGATGTATACACATACGCGAATAATTAACAAGGTCAAAATGTGACCAAAGTGGAATGAATAAATTGACTTGTCCGGAAGCTAGAGTAAGATATGTGGGCTTAACATAGCAATCGACACTGTAGTTTTCTGGGCGAGACTATAATTTATGAACGAATCAATCAGGTATAAGATAATAGGTCTCGGATTTTAGCGCGAAATTCACTCAACCATTTGGTTAAATAGAGATTTGACATTATAGCTAATGTCAGTTTGTAATGAAAACGCTAAATCTAATTCCTAACCTTAATCATCAAATGTAAATCATAATTCTAATTCTTCACGCTTGTTTATAATCCTCATTTGGTCCTAGTTAACAGGTGGACACTCTCAATGTCACTTTAGCTTCGTCCATAAATTATAGTCTCACTGTTTTCTGATTATTTTGTTGAATGAAATAACGTTGGTTTACTTCATTAAAAATAAAAAAATTATTTTGCTTAAATATAGAACAATATGGAAACAAGATCTTTTTACATAATTAGCTGATAGGAAATGATCTGAATAACAGAAATCTACTATGTTGGATTGGTTTAGATTTTATACAATTTAAAAGTAAACTTTTATCCCGAACGAACATTAACTAAGAGAAAAAATAACTAAATTGCACTGGTTCAACGAAACTGTATTATGATGTTGTAAATCATGAAGTGACCTATGCTCCTCCATGAGGATTAACAGGCGAAAATATGTAAGAATCATGAACTTCATTACGTCAACTGACTTAATGACGTTTGATGAAATTGATGTTTTATTACGAACTGGTTAGTGAGAAAAATAAAAATCACTGACAAAATATATTCTATGGCTGTGAGTTCCTTGGTTTTGAGGATTTAAGAATATACGCTTAGTCTCGCTGGATTTTTGTTT